CAGTGTACAACCCTCCAGGCCTTGCTGGTCCCCTTTCAGTTATCAAAAAGTTATTTCCTGTCTCTGTCCTTCATACATGCAATAGCCACCACTCACTGCCAGCTCATTACTTCTCGTCTTTCAGATATCTATTCACATGTTGCTTCCACAAAGAGAATTACAAGACCAGAATCCTAAGAGTGTAGACATCACCTTTTATTCCCTACCATAGCTCTTAACCAACTTGCAATTGCATATTTATCTATTATTTGACTCTCTTGCTGGATGCTGAGCTCCACAACGGTAAGGATCTTTGGATCACTAGTAAATGTCCTGTTCCTAGCATAGCGCCTGGCACATAGACAACATCACAGATACCAAAATTCAAATTTCTGCATGATCTGGTCCCTGACTACTACTTCTGGTTCTCCACACTCATGCTCCCATTATTCCTTTAAAAGGCCTCAAGGATACTCACTGGGCATGCTTCCTGGGCATCCTTCCAACTCCAGTATTATTTTGCTCTTGGTTAAATCAGATATCTATTCACTCTTCATATGAAACCCTGATATCTCCTAACACACACACACACACAAACACACACACACACAGCTGAGTACTTCCTCTTCCATAGGTTCATTGTACTTCTACTAAAATGTTGCCACACTAAATTCCTATAAAAATCTTTTCTCCTTTCCATCTCCACTAGCAAAGTAAGTTGATTAAGGATAATTTTCAATTCAAATTTCAATCCTCCAAACAAAGCAAAATCTATGATGAATGAATTAATGGTTCAATCCAGTCTATCTGATATTAAGGGGATTTTAATTTTCTTTCGCAAAAAAGTAACCAAATTCCTATTTGCCTCCCAGACTCTACAATGTAAATCACCTCACCATTTACATTTCAAAGCAGAGCATGCATTTAACCTATAGAATTTATCATATCCCATCACTCAGAGATTTATTCTTATTCTCCAGAGGTTATTAAAATTTTTGAATTAAACTATACATGGATCTAATCCAATTAAGCCATAGCTAAATGAACTTCAATAGTATTCATTTAAAATAATAGGCCTGATATTATGTGGAAGAGCATCTTCCTTGAAATATCTACATTTTCATAATTATTAGTACAATATCCCGAAGCACATTTAATTAGCACTTATCACCCCCCTCAAAATAATCAGATAATAGTATATTCAATAATGTGTTGGGCACTGTTTGATGTATTTTGCTAGTGTTTCTATCATTAACAAAAGAAGTAAATCCCAGGAAGGTCTTTTGGCTACTCAGCCCACAGATGAAGTTTGATGCACTGATCATGAAGCACAGAGGTATAGTGGAAAACGAACCATTTCTAACTTCAAAGGGCTTATTGCCTTGAGCCTGGTGATAGTTAAAAGATTTCTGAATTAACATGGGTATATGCTGGGAACTGAATACCTGTATCCCTCTAAAGTTCTATGTTGAAACCCTAATCCCCAGTGTGGTGGTATTTGGAGGCAGGCCTTGGGGAAGTAGTTAGGTCATGAGCGTGGAGCCCTCTCAAATGCATGAAGAAGAGGCACAACACAGCCAGCTTCTCTCTCCACCGTGAGGACACACCAAGAGGGAATCTTTCTGTAGGCCAGGAGACAGTACTCAAGAGACTAGCATCTTGATCTTCGCTGAACAGCCTTCATAACAGTGAGAAATGACCTGCTGTTTAAGTCACCTCATTTATAGCATTCTGTTACAGTGGTCCTAGTAGGCTACAATGGTCTGTTTGTCAGTAGTACTTCTAGAGAATCAGACACTCAAATTACTATGGGGTAAACAGAGTTGCTCTAGAACTGACATCCAGCTGCAGAACTAGTTATCAAAATGTAATAAGGGACCTGGATTCACTGTAAAGCTTTAACCTTTGCAACAGAGTAAAATTAAATATGCCATATAAAATGTGTGACATTCTATCCTCAAGTAAACTCAGACAGCTCAAGCCATGGAGCTTTTTCTATTTTTTTTTTTAAATAACTCGGTGTGTTCAACTTCCCCACCTATGTGGGCCAGAGTGTTCCAAACAATGCACTTGCAAAGAAAACAAATATTCTTGGAAACACTTTGCATACTATCAGCAATGGTGTTTTCCAAGGGTGTCTATTTTACATTTACTTGTTGACAGATTAACATAATGAATAATCATTAATGTTTTCTCAATTGTTCATGTAAATTATTTTTTCACATTATAAAAAACAGAAGCAAGATTTATATAGCAAACTGCCAAGAGTTTATGTGAATTTGATGTTTTTACAAATATATATGTGCATGTAAACCACACCCTTATGAAAGATACAGAACATTTCCTCCACCCCAGAAAACTTCCTCATATACTCATCCATTCACACTCCTCTCCTCTCACTTCCCTTTTACCAAAGTAGCCACTGTCATGATTTTTCTCACTATAGACTAGCTTTTACCCATTTTAAATTTCAAATAAAGGGAATCATGCAACATATACATCTTTTTTCTAGATTGTTTCTCACAGTAATGTTTTTGAGATTCATCAATTTTTTCTATTTATTTGACAAATAGATCTAGACAGTGAAAGACAGAGAAGAGAGAAAGGTCCCCCCTCCGTTGGTTCACTCCCCAAATGGCCGCCACAGCCGGTGCTGTGCTGATCCAAAGCCAGGAGCCAGGCGCCTTCTCCTAGTCTCCCATGAGGGTGCAAGGGCCCAAGCACCTGGGCCATCATCCTCCACCGCCCTCCCAGGCCATAGCAGAAAGTTGGACTGAAAGAGGAGCAGCCGGGACTAGAACCCGATGCCCATATGGGATGCCGGCACCGCAGGCAGAGGACCAACCAAGTGAGCCACGGCACCAGCCCTGAGATTCATCAATTTTGTGCATGTATTAGTTCATTTTTTTTCACTGTTGCATAGCTTTCTGCTTTGCAATTTCTCTTAAAAAATGATCAGAGGGGCATTTTTTGGAGGTCCTTATAACCCAGTAAGAAGTTTTATTATAACAAACATCATACTGACTGCAGTTTCTTGGTGAATTATACTTTTCCCACGGTCAATGCCAGATATATACCTGAGTTGCTCACAAGCATTTGCCCACCTGAAATGGAACAACTACCTCTTGAACACTTAGGAAGAAATAAGTGCTACACTTAATGCAAATCCCTCTAGAAATACGCTCATTTATAAAATATTTTGATAGCACTGGGTAATGAATCATCCATAGAGACCACTGCTTCCAACAGTTTCAGTCTACCACTAACTTGCCTTAACTTCAGCAAATGGCTGACTTCCTTGATTTTCACTTTAATAATCTGTAAAATGGAAATAACAATAATGTCTCTATAATTTATCAGGAAAGTTAAATAATATTACTGGTATGAGATTTCTTAATAAACTATATAACTTGGTTAAAAGTTATAATGTAGCTGAGACAAAACATTTTCTGAGTAATACGTCCACAAACTCAAATTAATTATAAAAGTTCAAATTTGAGTCCTTACTATGTTTAAGTTATACACTGCCCTAGTTACTTTAAATACATTCACTCTTTTCAGTTCTAAAACATCCCTAAAAAGTAAGTGCTGCTATTATCCTCATTTTACAAACACGTGAGGCAAAACGGATTAAGTGACCTACCCAAAGTCTCACGGCTTTGACAAGAGAGGTGAGATGAAGGTTCAGGACCTTAGTTTTTCCAGACCCCAAACTCTTAACTCTTTTTCTACCTTTCAAAAATGTAGCTTTGCATAAATGTAAAGATTTATATTTTGATTAATTTGCAAAACAGAAAAAAATCAAAAGGATAAGATATAAGGAGAATTTTAAGAAGACTCTGAAGATTTCGGGGTATTTCCAAGTTAGTTCTTAAGAAGGGGGGTGGTTGTGGGGCAGTGGGTTAGGCTAACACTTGGGAAGTACACATCCTTTATCAGAATGCTGCTTCAAGTCCTGGCTACTCTGCTGATGATCAGCTTCTTGCTGATGCTCCGGGGAGGCAGCACATGATAGCACAAGAGTGTGGGCCCCTACTAGCTGTATAGTAGGTCCAGATGGAGCTCCTCCTTCCTGGCTTCAACACTGCCAAGTCCTGGCAGTCCCAGATGGAAAAGCTTTCACCTTCTTTCTCCCTCACCTTCCCCACCCTGTTACTCTAGTAAATAAATCAGAAATTCTTTTTAAAGGAAGAAAAAAAGAAGGGGCCAGCATTGTGGCACAACAGGTTAAGCTGCAGCCTGCGATGCCAGATCTCACATCTGAGAACTGGTTCAAGCCCCGATTGCTTACTTCTGATTCAGCTTCATGATAATACACCCAGGAAATCAGCAGAAGATGGCCCAAGTACTTGGACTCCTGCCACCCACAATGGAGGCCTGGATGGAGTTCCAGACTCCTGGCTTTGGCCTTGCCCAGCCCCAGCCCCAGTTTCCATTTGGAGACCGAACCAGTAGATGGAAGATCTCTTACTTTGTCTCTCCCTCTCTCTCTGCTGTCACTTTGGCTTTCAAATCAATTAAAATAAATGTAGGAAAAAGAAAAGTATCTTGTTATTAAGAAAAAAGGGTTAAACAAGAAAGGAAAGTAGAAAATGCACTTGAGTTCTTGAACAACTGGACAAAATGACAGGGTGTCTGAAAAGCAATTAAGCTCTGTGACCACAGGAACAGTGAGGACAAAGGCCCACTCACATACTCCTTCAGCTCAGTCAGGGATGAGGAAAAAGGAGGCGGGGGCACCACAAAAAAGTGTACACCCAGGTCATGAGGTGGCCTAAAGCTTCCTAGTGGCTGCTGCAGTACACAGTTAAAGGGGAGCAGACACTGGCTGAGGGAATAAAAAGGAGAACACAGAACAAGTGGCCATTGACATTGGCATGCAAGGATATTCACAATTGTGCCCACAATTCAAGGAAAGATGGTGAAATCATTGCTTGAGAAATCCCCAAGCGGCACCAGGATGTGAACTGCTGATGATTCCAATCTTTCTCTTTAACTAATTATTACTGACGCCTTCATAGAAATTACCCCGGTGGTATTATCATTTATTGTAAAGTTTGAACAGTACATTCTTAGCAAATCCAACCCCTACACTTTGCAGATTAAGAAACTGGGGCTCAGGGTGTTTGTTTGCCAAGGTTCATGGGGCTTGATAGTGACAACATCAGCCCCAGAATCTACATCTGCACATGACAGTAATACAAATAACATTTACTGGATGCTTCACTGCGTGTCAATCACTGGACTAAACACTTTGGATGTGTTGTCTTAGTTAATCCTCACAACAACCAAGGGCACATATAGGTCAAAGTTGGATTGGATTTAACTGACTTACACTGGATAATTATTCAGGTCTTCAACATAAAACCTATGCAGAGATTCAGTTTTGCACTTCCACAGAAAATGTGTGAGTAGCACAGGAAGAATTTATTAAATATTAAATTGTGAATAAAATGGTGTCACTATATCTTAAGGATCATTCCTTTCCACACTGATAATCATTTTACAAGAGACTCCCTTTAACTAAGGAAATGCGTATTCATTAGCCCACACAGGAGTAGATAATAGGTTAGGTTGGTGGAAAGAAGTGGACTTTTTTAGATAACATCCAAAATATTCAGACACCCCACCTAATCAATTTAAATCTAATCACACACTCCTAAGACTCTCCTCTACACACTTCCCACAACAAGGTGTAAGCTGGTTCAAAACAAGTTTTCTCACTCTTTTAAATTAAATTTTGGAGGGCAATACATTTTTATAAGCATTTGACCTGTTTTGTGTACATGGTGTACATCCGTTACCAGTCCACAATCACATTTCAGAAATGCATTTGTGTTGTGTAATGCACTGCCTGCTACATGGCTGAACAGAGAGCAGTTCCATTACAGTCGACAGCATCCCCAATTGTATTACCCAGCCCTTCATGTCGATCCACAGTGCACAGTGCATTCCCAACAAAGAATGAGGAAAGGGACAACTTCAAATCAAAGCACCTAGACTCAATCTACACTATTCTGAAAGAGCCCAGTGTTCAAGTGCTCGGTCAGATGGCTTCTTTCATTGTTGAACATCACCCTCTCTGACCACAGCTTTTACTGGCACCCTAACAATTGCAGATATTCACAGAATACCAGGCTATTTTTCAAAAGGTAAGAAAGACCACAAGGAGGAGGAGAAGGAAAGAGGCAAAGGAGGGAAGGGTTGGGGCTGGTGCTATGGCCTAACAAGTTAAGCCACCACCTGCAATGCTGGCATCCCATATGGGCGCTGGTTCCAGTGCCAGCTGCTCCTCTTCAGTTCCTGCTCCCTGCTAATGTACCTGGGAAAGCAGCAGAGGATGGCTCAAGTCCTTGGGTCCCTGCACCCATGCAGGAGACCAGAAAAAACTGGTCTCTAGCCCCGGCCACTACGGCCATCTGGAGAGTGAATCAGCAGATAGAAGATTGATTCCCTCTCTCTCTTTGTATCTTCCTGTCTCTGTGAAACTCTTTCAAATAAATAAAATAAATATCTAATTTAAAAAAAAAGGAGGGAAAGCTGCAGAGAAGGAAAAGAAATCCACAGACTTAGTATATTAATCTCCATAAACATGTCACAAGCCAGATAAGCTCAAAGATCGCAGGCCATTAATAAATCAAAAAATATGGTTTTCTGTTTTTCTAATAATTAAGAGAAGCAATAGAGAGAGAGAAATGAGTCCTCTTAGAGACTCCCCTCCAAAACTGCTATGCATCGATTTCTGCACTTGTTTCAGATGTTCTCATTTCTGATCATTATCTTAGTTAGGCTCACCTACTGAATCCTAGGAGAATGTCAACATTTAACACTGAGTTGATTAAAAACCATCTTGCTTATTCTGCAGCAAAGTACATTAGGCTTGCTTCTATCACACCATCATGAAACTGCATTAGGAATAAGTCCTGAAAACATATGCAGAGGCCGGAATAACAATTATAAAGAAAACCCCAATATCATTCAGTAAATCTAGTCAATTCAGGAAGAGAAATGGCAAGGTGAGAAAATTTACAGCTTGCTAAATTCTCTTTCAAATATGCACCAAATTCCTTAAAATATAATGGCTGCCTGACTCTAACATACCATCTCTAAATATGAAAAAAAAAAAAATCTGGGCAAGATGCATCGGTCTTAGCCACTGTAAGAATAATTTTTATCATTCTGAAAATGCTTTGCTATTCATTTCAACAGTGCATTGCTTTTATAAGTCCACTGTATTGTAAACACTGCAAAACCTCAGAGAAAGTTTCTCATAGCAAAAGACCATTTACATCTACTAATTTCGCAGAAATTGCTTTCTAAATCACAATGTGTTATCAAGGCCATATTCTATTTTTCTGTTAGTGCTTTTCTGACAGTTGGAAATGGGTACAGGCTGTAATTTACTTTAGTAGTGTCCAGTAAAATCATTCCAACAGCATGACAGATAAAAGGCAATAAGGAAAAGTGTTTACAATTTTTAAAGGCTATAATGTTCACTCAGTGTAAACAGCAGCTTATGATTTAAAAAAAAATAGAGCAATACATGATCTATATGTCTGATGGTCATTAAGACAGTACCTAAATAATTTAAAGATTCTGAAGCAACAATGTGTGGTAAAATGATGGGCTTTGATTCAGTAATCCCCAAAGCTCATCTACCTTTAATTTACCTTAATAGAGAACTGCTTTGAGAAAAACAGTGAAATCCGATAGCAGCTAACAGTGTACTCTGTAGCCACCAAAGCAGAACGACAAAAAAGTTGTCACAGGTAAAACCAATAGCAGCTAAAGCCATCGTGTTTTGTGTCAAATAACACTCCACATGGAAAAATTATGAAGAAAATGGGCAATGAATTATAAAGAACAGAGAAAGCCAATTATGGCGATTACCAAAACAGCCACACAACATTTCAAAATTGCCTGACTGAACAAGGCCACAATATACTTCACATTATGAGAAAGAGAAAATTAACCAGTGTTTGCACCCTCTATGTGTGTTTTGTTAACAAAGTCATTCTGATTAAGTTTATGGTCACACTGCAGGATCACAAGACTTCACAAAGAGGATTACTTTAAATATGAAGTCTTTCGACTGTGAAACTAATCATTTCTGAAGAAGGCTGGATATTCAATATTTCTCTAAATTGGAATCTCTGTCTCTCTCTCCCTCCCCCTCTTCTCTCTCTCCCCACTCTTATTATTTTTTTTTCAGATTGCACAAGACTTCACTCTTCCTTAAGCTGGTTACCTATGCACACTCATAAAGAACAACAACAAAAAAAAACTTAAAGAAATGCAACCTTTCACTTCACGTTAGAACTCTCATAAATTTAATATCCACTTTTAATTATCCAAGAGAGCTGCTTAACAGCTGCTTTTTTTCTTATTATTTTGCACATGAAAAAAAAAAAAAAAACCAATACAATTGGCTTACTATCTTTTCTGTGGGCCCCAGAAAACTTAATTCATTTAGAGATCATGACAACACAGCTTAAAGCTAGAAAAAAAAAATGGGGTTTAGAGGTTGAGATACAAAGGTTACAGCTTTTCTCTTTTGACTTACTGTCCAGGAAGACCTTGCTAAAGAACTAACCTTTTTGGACAGTGTGGGGAGCAACCCGGACTGGACTGAGTTACTGGAATTAAGACTTATTCTATGCATCTGCTCTCCCACAATATGGCGCTGGGAGAGGAGGCAACAGTTTCTACCCAGCTGCCTCTCACCAACTTGACAAGCTGCAGGACCTGCTCCTGATTGGAGGAGAGCAGCGTACTCAGCGTGTAGGCAGCCAAGTTAGGATTGGCGGAGGAGGACTATAAAGGAGGAGAGAGACAACATGCACCAGGAACATCTTTTTTTTTTTTTTTTTTTGACAGGCAGAGTGGACAGTGAGAGAGAGAGACAGAGAGAAAGGTCTTCCTTTGCCGTTGGTTCACCCTCCAATGGCCGCCGCGGCCGGCGCGCTGCGGCCGGCGCACCGCGCTGATCCGATGGCAGGAGCCAGGAGCCAGGTGCTTATCCTGGTCTCCCATGGGGTGCAGGGCCCAAGCACCTGGGCCATCCTCCACTGCACTCCCTGGCCACAGCAGAGGGCTGGCCTGGAAGAGGGGCAACCGGGACAGAATCCGGCGCCCCGACCGGGACTAGAACCCGGTGTGCCGGCGCCGCTAGGCGGAGGATTAGCCTAGTGAGCCACGGCGCCGGCCACCAGGAACATCTAAGGGGAACATCTATCTGAAGGAACACCTGTGCAGCCCCCGAGAGAGCCGGCCGGTGGTGTGCCGCTCCCCCGCGGAAGTGGGGAATGTGGCAGGGGGAACCGCCCTTCCACGGAGGTGGAAGGGACGGTAGCCAACCCGGGAAGAACCAGCAGCAAACCCGGGGAGGGCCGAGCAGACGAAAGAACAGCGCAGGGTCCTGTGTCGTTCCTCCACGAAGAGGGGGAGCGACATAATGGTGCCGTGACTCGGATAGGAAACTTAGGAGGGAAGAAACAGGAAGAAGTGGGAAAATACTGGAGAGAGAGACTAGCAAAGAGCCTAGGTGCCGGAAGAAGCTATTGAAAGCCTAGGCATAGACTCGGATATGGACTGTGGGAAAGAAGTTAGGATTGAAAGCGAAAGTGAAAGCTTTCATAGACTCGGATGCGGACTATGGCGGGGAAGCTAGGAGATTGAAAGCGAAAGTGAAACCTGGAGGAGGCTTGGACTCGGATATGGACTGTGGGAAAGAAGTTAGGATTTAAAGTGAAAGCAAGAAGAAACTTAGATACGGACTGCAGGTTGAAAGTGAAAGTGAAACCTATAAGAAACTTAGACTTGGATACGGACTGTGGGGAGAGGCCAGGAGAAATGAGGGAGGAATACTGTTGGAAGAAAACTTAGGGAAACATACCGGGTAGAAAAATATGTTAGGGAGGATGAAGCCGCGAGTGCAGGCCGAGGCGGAGACATAAGCCAGCTTGGAATTCTTCAAGTCAGCCCGGGGAGCAAGAGGCGAAGATCTGGAACCAGAGGCAGAGACGTGGGCCGCCACGTTGGAATTCGCCAGGTTAGTCCGGGGAACTTGGATTGAATGCTAGTGGCGGAGACGTAAGCTACGCTGTGTGACTCGCGGAAGCCGCCGCGTGCAGAGAGAGCACGGGGCGTGAATAGATAGGGAACGCGGGGCTGGCGCGAGGCCGTGGTGCGGACG